GTTTAAAGCCATGTTAAGACAAACAAAATTTAAAATCTAAGTATATAAAGATTATGTTGGAAAGAAAAAGTTAAGATGATGATTCAATAGGTATAGTTACTTGATTTGGGCTAAAAATGTTCTGCTTTTCCTCAGTTACAGAGGCAGCTTTTAATTAAAGATAGACAACTGCTTAAAGAGACACGTTGAGATGGAAGGAAAGCTTGAAGGCAAGAAGACAAAATTTATCCAGAGGAAAGATATGGGTTAATTTATTATTTGGGAAGTGAGGCAAAAAGCTTTGCCTACTATAGTTGCCCCTGGATCCTTTCATGAGTTATTGTCTAATGTAAAAATTTTGCTCATGATGATGATGGAAATATATAGAGCATATTAAATTATAATTAGTATCCTCTCTATTATAAAGCAGAAAAATATGCAATACTTTTCTAGTTTAAAATGTAGAGTCATAAAATCTTCAAGTTTGATGAAAATTTAAAAGCAATTTTGTTTTTTTTCTCATTCAATGTGAAAAGCCTTCTATAGCACCCCTGAAAGATTATCTAGACTTTGCAGGAATATTTCTACTGATGGGGAATTCAGCACTTCATCAGGTGGGTTCATTCACCACTGAGAGGCTCACGCTATTAGGGAATTCTTTCATATGTGAAGCTAAAGTCTGCTTCCATGTGACTTACACTCATTAGTCCATGTGTTAGTCCATTTGAGCTGCTAGAACAAAATACCACAGTCTGAGTGGCTTATAAACAACAGAAATTTATTGCTCACAGTTTTGGAGGTGGGGAAGTCCAAGATCAAGACACCAGCCTGGTTGCATTTGGTGAAGGCCCCCTTCCTGGTTCATAGTAGAGGCCATCTCACTGTGTCCTGACATGGTGAAAAGAGCTGGGTATGTCTCTGGAGTCTTTTTTATAAAGGCACAAATCCCGTGCATGAGGGCTCCACTCTCATGACCTAAGCACCTCCCAAAAGCCCCACCTTCTATTACTATCACATTAGGCATTAAGATTTCAACATATGGGGCCAGCCCTTGTGGCCTAGTGGTTAAGTTGGGCACGTTCTGCTTCGGTGGCCTGGGTTCAGTTCCTGGGCATAAACCTACACCACTGGTCTGTCAGCAGCCATGCTGTGGCAGTGGCTCACATACAAAAAGAGGAAGATTGGCAGTGGATGAATTCTGGAGGGACATAAACATTCAGACTATAGTCATCCATATTCTGCCCTCTGGAGAAAAGCAGACAGAATTACTCCCTCTTCAACATTTTAATCTTAATAATAGAAAATAGCATCACAGAATTGAGAAGGATCATGCAGAATAACAAAATATTCCTTTTGGAGAAAAGAGAATGGAAACCCAAAGTAGTCATACAAGTCATACAGTTAGATATTGGTAGAGCTATCATCAAAACCCTTCTGACTGACATTTCCTCTGAATTTTAGGTCTTTTTTATTACTTTATTATATTTTATTATCATGTTACTCTTTTACACCATGTATATTAAGATAATAATCATTTCTTGATTAGTTCTTTTCTGGTCAAAGTTAAACAACTAAGTTCCTTTTGTTAGACTTTACTAATAACACAATATTCAAAACGTGAAAAATGGTGGCAGTGACATTTGCTTCCCAGTTAAGAATTACAATAATCATGATCAAGAGATGCCCACCCAAACCATTATAGACCTAGATAAACTATTTTTTAAAATATAAAGATTCTAATCCATAAAAGAAAAAAATAAAAGATAATCTTCTCTATGCATCAGAATGAAACAGAAGCGGACAGTTGTACACAGATGCACACAGCAACACACTACTGACATTCTGTTTTCCACTTTCACCTGGAGCATCTAAGTAATCACAGACCACAGTTTTTACCAAATACATCCCCACTATAACACCTGGATTACCACCTTTCCAGCCTCTATCATTAGTTTCCTTGCCATTTGCTGTCCAACCCTTAAGAAAAATTTCAGCTTTCTGTTATGGCAGCCCTCTACTCCTAGGGATCAATTTCTGTATACATCAGGATGTTTATGTCGCAGGATCAAATAATCCCCAAATCTCAGTGGCTTAACATTTTCAAAGGATCATTTCTATCTCATACTCCACGTCCACTGTGTTGTTAAGGATGCTTGGTTTATCCTGGTCATTCAGGGAAACTTGAATGACAAGGACTTCTGCTAGACACAAACTTCCACAATTGCTACCAAGAAAAGAACTCCCTTCAGTGCTTCTCATTGACAGTCAATGCTTCTACCTAGACGTGACACATGCCACTATCACTCACATTTTAATTGGCCAAAGCAAGTCATGTGTTCAGAGGAGGAAGAAAGGGCAACCCTCTTGTGTGTCTGGAAGGTGAAGAGCTGGAGTATTTATGAAGCCCTCATAACCACGAGATCTCCCAAGCCCCTCTTCCGCCAATTCCTCCACTAGTCACAGGATAGTGTCCCCCCCTTATTTAAAAAAAAAAAGCTAAGCCTTTGGGAAATATCATCCCAAGATGCTTCCCATCAAAGCATACAGATTGTGTCTCTAGAGAGTAAATAAAACAGAGAGATAGAAGTTAAACATCACATTACTTGTTTTTTTATGCGTATGTTCTTTTACTTCAGACACAAGTAAGTAAAAACGGTTTTTGGTAGCCCCTCTGAAAAATAAAACAATATATGGCATTCACCTAGGATTTAAATTCTTAGATCATTATTCATTTTAATATCAAAAATGCTGGGGAAAAGCTGTGGAAGGAAGTTCTATGAATATTCTTCCCTTTCTCTTTTAGTATTTTCAAATACAGTCATAATTTAGTCTCTTCCCAGACATAAGAGCCCACGTGCTATAGCAGCTTCATCTTTGCACAATTACAGAAAGAAACAGGAACCATTTTCTTTGATGTAGAGACATCTATCATTAAGAATCAACGAAGAACTCAACCACATAGTTGCAAATGCAGTAGTTTCTGACAGGCATTTGAGAGTTAAAGTAGCTACATGTAGGTAAGGAATAAGTTTACTAGAACAAAATTGCATGTTGTACTGTTTCGACTGCTGTACATAATCACATTGCAACTTATGAAAGATTCCCTTTGCAAAATTTCTTCTCCACCATAGATTTTTCGCACAAATCTCTCTTTCCTTAACTAGGGCAAAACCAAAAGAAAATACCTCTTTTTGAGCAGGTGATACATAATATGTAAATACTATCTTTTATTTCATGTAAAACCTTGCCAGTGACTTCTATATTTTATCTCCTAGAGCTAAAAAAGAAAATGCCCTTTATACTCACTAAATCCCTTTTATCTGAAAAGTATGAACAAAAGGAATATTTCTTTGCTTCCCACGTAATTTCCATATTCAACTTTTTGCATCAGATTTTCCTTTTTTAAAATCATACATACTGTTGTCAAGATAATCTAACTGTATAGAAATGGATAAGATAGGAAAAAATATTTTTAAAGTGGCATTTAACTTTTCCTCCAGTTATTTTATGCTCTCCATGATTTGAAATATTACTTTTGAAATGTAACAATGAAAAATCATCTTTCAAATATATTACCTAATAATGAATAATTTTACAGAAACAATGACTACAAGAATAAGTGTTCAGTTCACTTTCCACTCAAGAATATTATCTATTTGTCAGTGGCTAATTAAATTGCTTTTTAACAACATTTAAAATCTAGTTTAGACTACCCATTGGGGCTATGTTATCACATATGTCAAAAATAAACTCATTTGTATAAAAGTAATTGGTAATGTATAGACCTGAGTAATAATGTACAAGGAAAAATGTACTAAGATGCTTCAGGAAAAATCTAGTATACATTCCTTTCCTCTGAAACAGCAATTGCAATTAAGAGCAGCTAATGACAACAATCATAGGGGCCTTCAGATTGCAAATATTTGCTACAATTATTATATTATATATTATTCAGACAAGCTACACGGGGAGCTTACAAACAGGAAAAAATATGAAAGTTAAATGCAGCATAAAAATAGGCCATACTCGACTCATAGAGACAAGGTGTAACTAAACAACCACAAAATCATGTTCATTTTCGCATTATTGAAAAATCTACTTTTGTTTACCTCCTAAGAATTGAGTTCAAAATGCCAAATATCTCTAGTAATGTTTAATGACAGTGTGAAAGCACAAAAAGAACGTAAAGTGTATATTCTCCCCCAAGTACTTAGTTACTATGATTTTTGTAGCTTGTACATGAAAAAAAAAAAAAATCAACCCCCAGAATGAAACCCAAGAATAAACAGATTTTTTCGTTTCCTTTCTAAAGGCGGGTGAGTAGGGTGGAATTTACAAGGCACAAGTTATCATCAGTTATAACTTTTCTGAATACCAGTGTAGGTAACTTTTCATATATCAGGTTGAATCACTGTACTTGGACAGTGTCACACAGCCAGGTGAGGGTATCCTTCTGGCTGTCTCTACATTCCTATCTTTTCTGTCTAAACTTTTCAAATACACATAAGTAATAGTGACTCCACAAAACAAAGTTCTATAAGACATGGACTACTTTTTAATTGCAATAATTGGGCTGGAGAGCTAAAGGAAATTACGTAAAGAAGAAATGTCAATGAGCCAGATGTGATTTGTAAAGAGGTTCCCTCTCTGTATAACTTCTTCAAAGCAAAATTATAGCCTATCAAATAACTGGAAATTTAGTATTTACTTGAGACATTTTTATCAGATTTCATTGATGAAAATTACAGCTTGTTTTTGCTGAGTCAAAAACCTACTTACCTCTGATAAAATCTTCTGTGTTCCACTATATTAGCAAAACGTCTCTCTTGAAAATGTGTATATGCAACAATATGTAAGAAGAAATTTACTCATAAAATAATTAGGATAATGGCTTTTAATCATTTTAATGGAGCATAGTATCCACTAAAAATGCCTCTCTGGATAGAATTCTATATATCTAAAGACAACTACATTCAACTTACAAGGCAAGGCATAAATCAATAAATGAAACAACCTCTTACCAGAATAAAATGATCCTAACATTTCCTTTCTTCCAGAAAGCTCTTGCAGATTTTCCCCAATCAGGATAAGGTTTGTCCTGAAGCATCATATCAGTGACCTGAAGTAATGAAAGAAACTTATTTAGCACTTTCAGAAACCTTACATTCAGGTTTAAATACACATATAATTTACATATTATTGAGAATAAAATATGGATGTATTTTAACACGAGATAACATTTTAACATCAGAGATAAAAATTAGAAGAATATACTTCTCTCAGTCAAAAACTTTAGTAGTTCATTTGACTTTACATAATGAATGAGCCTATTTAAGGTCATTCAACATGTCAAATACTGAGATTGTTTCTTAAATATCAATCAAGATTATCTTATATAAAGAGGCACTTTTAAGATACTATTGACCTCCCCATGGAAACAAAACATACAACAAACAAAATACAATATTCTTTTTAACTTTGTCTAATTGAAAACGCCAAAATCCAAATATTTCCTGATCTAGATTTTTACCTACATCATTAGTCAAAATATTACCTTCTCTACTCTCCCTTTTTTCCTTTAATGGTATGTAAGGTGTAGTACTTGAGCACAGTTTTACAGCGTATTTATTCGAATTACCTCCATACCATTAGCAATTCTACATCTTCTCCTACCTGTCTTTCTCAAGTGGACAGATTCTGCGTGTCTTCTGAGACCCAGGTAACGTCACATTGCCACTGTGTCTTCCCTGCTTTTTTCAACTGTAGTTCTTGATCCCTCCTTCTTCCATATTGTCTCACTTTCCACCTTCTATTTTACACTAGACTTTAAAATCCTTGAAGGTGAAGATGTATCTTTATATCCCTTCCAATACCTAAGTATCTTTTATGTAAAAGACTAAAATATTTTGCTCAAGGAAGAAATGACAAAATGAATTAGGTTACACATGCTTGCTTTTAGAGAGGTATTAACAAAGCAAATTGCTCATCAGCAACATCCCATGTTAATAGTTTCAGCAAATGTACAAAGTGTCATAAATAAACTATTAAAAAAGCATCTTTGAAAAGTGGATGGGGATGGAGAATGAATTTCCTTAATTCTTCTAATAAAGAAAATGTGTTTGCATACGTGTACACACACACATTTTTCCCTTTTCCCAGAAAATCTACCTTGCCTTCAAGAAAAGAGAACATTATTTCATTAATTGTTTTTAATTAATACTATTCACATTCGAACAAATAAGACAGAATCAAAATTAAGAAAACTGATACGGAATGAGATAAACTGAATGGAGTAAGGAAGAATTTTCATCAAACATTAAAATATACTTTTCTCCTGCCCTTAAAGGATTAACATTGCTTTTAAGCATAACTTCAAACAATGGCCTGACCTGGTAGGTGAGATTTTTAATCATTACGACAAAGGATTGTGATTCAGTGGGGAGTCCTTCTGGATCAGTGACCCTTTCGATAGTACTGGACTTCCTGTGGAAAGTTCATCATTCTCTTGCAAGCCCATCTTGTGCCACACAGCATGCAAGAAATGGTCTCTGGAAACATTCACTGGCATGCCAATGTTTCACATGCTCGCTTAAGATGCAATCAGAACAGTAGGTAAGGAGCCTAGTCTCCAGGATATATTCTGTCTTAACTTTTCTTTACATTTTTTCTCAACATCATTTCTAGGAGTAGAACTCTTAAGCTTCTCTTGGTTGACGAGAACCAAAGCAAGTTCATTGACCTTCATTGAGTAACACTGCGGATTTATACCAGCTCTGTCTAACTGAGGGTCTATAACAACTTCGTGTGATGTGGCTTTACTGTTGAATCTTTAAATACTCACCAATCATAAGTGCTTTTAATATAAACTCCGTTAACTTATTTAAAATATTAATTACTTTGATAAACATGAATGAAACTAATATTAAGAACTTAAAAAGGAAAAACACTTGTTTTACTTATTTTTAAAAGGGCACTTGCTTATTGATGATTTTCTCATCTGCTTATTATCTTCTTGACACTTTAAAATTACAAGATTTTATTTTCTGATTCACACTAATACCCATGGATTGTATCTTCAATCAAGAAGGAGTCATCATATTTATTGGAATGAACAAAGATGATAGAATAAAAATTAACCATGAAACAAGTGAGTTACATTGTTACTAAAAAACGAATAAAGGCAAAAGTAGAGAAATCTAAATCTCATATATTCTTGGGCATAAAAAGAGTTTTATATCATAACTTCTCTTGAGGAAAGAATTGCTATTCTTCCAAACACAACAATTTCATCCACTATTTCTTTGTAACCTTCTTGAATAACAATTCTTGTGTCAATTTTGGTTTGTACAAAACCTCAAGGTTAAGTAAATAAATACTTAAATAAATATTTCATGTTTCACCAGCTTTTTAATAGATTTAATTAATTCTGTTGAGCAATATTTATCCTGTCCCAGAAAGAGTCTACATGGTGATAAATATTTTCAAGGAACAAAATGATTACTGGGTGGATTTTATTCAATTTTCAATGTTTTCTCCAGGGCAGTTTCTGGGAAATACTTATTATATTTTCTAGAAGGAGGCAATTTGCTGTTATATGACCAATTATTACAGCAGCATGTTTTGTAAAAATGACACTCAAGGATAAAGGATTTTCTCAGGAAAATGGCAAGATGAGGCAAAAAACATTTTTTCTGATGCCAGACAGCTGGTCTTTTTCACCCCTAGCTTCAACTCTTTATTTTAATTCATATTATCAGATCAATGTCAGGTCACTTGAAGCTAAATTGGCAGGAATAGAGACAGTCATTAAAGGGATGCCTTCAATAAAGAAAAATCCAATTACCTTCTGCATTAGAGAAATCAAATTCATTTCTGGTGTTGGTCAAGGACAGTCTTTGTGGGAGAAGATGCAAGAAAGGGAGGGCTGAAGATGATGCAAAAAGGTTGTTGTGTACCATAAATATAATACAAAACTTGTTGATGCTTCTCCCATGAGAAGATTATTAGAATTTGAAATTGCAAGTCTTTCCAAGCTTGGAGAAACTGTTTAACTCTGAGTCTCACAATCCTTCATTTTCCTCTTCTCTCTACTAGGTCTTTGCACAAAACTCAGAATGTCATTATGGCCCTTATCACATTATGCCTTGTCAGGTAGTCTTTTTCATTAGAACATAAGCTATTTACGGCATGGGCATTGTGCAGTCTGAGTAAGAACATGCATGTTGAGATTTGAAACTCAGTAAATTATTTTAAAAGTAATTGATCTCTGTAAGAATCTAAGTGAAAACTTTGCTCCTTTATGAGTTGAACCTATATGACATGGTGGCAACAGCAATGATGTAATAATATTTTACATTTGCTGCAGAGCTTCATGGCTTACAAAGCTCTTAGATGGACTTTTTGTAATAACTGTCTTAGCAACTTTATAAAGTAAGCCATTATTTTTCAACTTTCACCAATAGAAAAAAGGAGGTTACTGAGATGAACTAATCGAGCAGGGTCACATACCTAATGTACTATCATGTGTACCAGTTCTGGAGCGAGTCTGCCTGGGTCCTAATCCTAATTCTGTTTCTTACTAGTTTTTGATTTGGGGCAAAGTAAACTCTCTGTGCCTCAGTTTCTTATTCATCATCTACAGCACACAATACATATTAGCAGGTATTATAAAAATTATTGATTTTTTCTGTTTTTTGTTTTTTCTCCCCAGAGCCCCAGCACATAGTTGTATATCCAAGTTGTAGGTTATTCTAGTTCTTCTATGTGGGATGCTGCCACAGCACAGCTTGACGAGTCATGCTAGGTCTGCGCCCAGGATCCGAACCTACAAACCTCGGGCCTCCGAAGCCAAGCACGAGAACTTAACCACTCAGACATGGGGCAGGTCCTTACTGACATTTTATTGTTGGTATCTGGAACTTCTACCCAATCATTTTGCTTTGTGTGACTATTATGTTAAATCTGAGGACTTGACAACCAGTCTCATCTCTTTCATAAAGACAAGACTATCATATATTGCACTATTAGAAAATGATAAAGCTATAGTAAAATGTTAGAATATGTTACAGTCTAAAATTGCTGTTAAAAATCAAAGAAAAGGGAGGTCACCCACCGAAGGCTGCAATAATCTGGGAAGGTTTCAAAGAGGATTTGTGTAACAGAACTGAGCATTAATCTGCAGCCTCCAAGTTTGCCAGTCTAATCTTCTTAGCCTGATTATAAGCTACTCACATGCAGGTACTGCACATACTATATTTATAGTCTTATTTGCTAAAGTCTTATGTTATGTGATAGTAATGAAAAATATTGATTTATTAGGGATACAAGGTCATAATATAATAACTATGGCCATCTAGTGCTCTTCTTGAGATAGCAATTATGCAGTGGAGTATCATTTAAAAGAAATAAGTGCTATTCTATTAATAAACAAACATATACATTATGGATATTAATGAACAAACATACACATACAATTTTTCATGCTATTTTGCAACCATTTTCTATTTAACAATATATCTTGAACATCATTATATATCAGTACATGTAAAGCTCTTTAAATAGTTTCTTCTTTTTTCATGTACTATCATACATTTTTATGTGCATTCTACTAAAATATAAAGATTCTAATTTTGTTCTATTATCTTTATAATTAAATTTCAGTTAATGTATGTATTTACTATTTCTTTAGATTTTATTTACTCCCTAGTAGGAATAGTGACAAGATTACTTAATTTCTGCTTTTTCTCCCTCTGCCTTCTTCCCCTCCTTCACCCTATTGTACTTATTATTTTTCCTATTAACTTTTTGTCCCTTTGAATATCTTATATTTCTATTTTATTTATCATCTTTAAATGATATCTTCTTCCCTTATCTATAAAAGATGAGAAAATCAGAATATAACACTTTATTACACCATATACCATCTCTATGTTGTTAGGGTTTGGGAATACTTCTATATTCTGGCCTATAATCAAAAGCCATGCATTTCTTTTAATCTTAGTCCTACAATTAAATGACTCAATGGTTTTTTACAGTACTCCTGCTGGAGTTTTTCTCCTGCTTCCAAATGCCTGAACTTTGTTCTAAAATAAATGCTTCAGGAAGGTTCATGAGAACAAT